TCGGGTCGGGAGACAGAGGAGGGGACACGGGTGGGGAACGAGGGGGAAAACGAGCCGGGGACGAGTCCGGCGGAGGGAACACGGGGCCGTAGACGGGAAGAGGGGGAGACGGCCGGAGAGGAACAGGCGCAGGGTCAGGGGACGGAAGGCCGAGCAGACGGAGGGCGGACACCGGCGGGGACTGCTGCTGCGGCGACACAACACCAACGCCAGGGCCACAAGCTGCGCGACGGCTACCTCCCGAACCCTCCACACCGGCACCCCCAGAAGGGACACCCCCAGAGCCCGAAACACCGCCAGCACCGGTACCACCCCCAGGCCCGCGGGGACAAGCCACGACAGGAGCCCCGGGACGAGTACCCACCTCAACTCCAGCACCCCCAGAGTCCACAAACAGCGGCAGCGACGACGGCGGCGGCGGCGGCGGCGGCTGCAGCGACGGCCTCGACGGCGGCGGCGGCGGAGACGACGGCTGCAGCAGCTGCGGCGACGGCGGCTGCGGAGGCGGTGGAGGAGGAGACACCGGGGGAGGGACAGACGGCGAGGACTGCGCCAAAGGACTACCAGAGTCAGAAGACTCGTCGACCGGAACGACCGACGGGAGGGGGGTGACGTGAGACACACCAGAGGGGGCCGGACGGGGGGGCGGGGGGGGGGGAGGGGCAGGGGCCACCAGGGAGGGAGGAACCAGGAACAGGGGGGGAGTAACCGGGGGACCACGGTGGGGAAAGCGGCGGAAGAAGGAGACGGACTCGTCAAAGGTGACGTCGCGAGAGTGAAAGAAACGGTGAGACGGCGGGTGGTAGAAGTGCCAGTCGGACGCGTCAAGGGGGAAACCGAGGAAGACGCAGGGGAGGGTGCGGGCAGTGAGCTTGTCCGTGCCAGAGGCACGAACGTGAGCAAGGCAGCCCCAGACGTGGAACGCAGACGCGTCACCAGGGGACCCGGTCCACAGAAGGGTCGGCGAAACCTGCAGCCGCTTGGGGTGCGGCCACAGGTTAAGCTGGTGAGCGGCGTAGCGCACGGCGAACGGCCACAGAAAATGGGGTGCACCGGCGTGGATCATGGAGGTGCGAGCCACCTCCATGACCAAACCGATGCGTCGCTCAGCGACCCCATTCTGCTGCGGGGAGTCCGGCAGGGTAAACGTCTGGGTGATGCCCTCCGCACGACAGAAGCGACCAAGGACACCTGAGGCGAACTCGCCACCCCGGTCGGAGTGGAGGCGCAAGGCAGGGAGAGCGCGGTGGAGACGAGCAGAGACAAGCCAGGGGATGAGAACGTCAGGCACGTCGGCCTTCCGCTCCAGGGGAAAGACGGTGGTGTAACGTGTGAAGTCGTCGACAAGCACTAGGAAGAAGCGCTCGCGACGCGGCCCATGGACCGGGGCTGGGCCCCAGACGTCCATGTGCAGAGTCTGCAGGGGTGCGGTGGTAGGGGGAAAAGAGGAGGAGTGAGGGGCACGGCGGAGCCGGCCCTCGACACAAGGCGTGCACGGTGGGGCGGGGGATGAGGGAAACTCAGGGAACGAACCGGGGAGACCAAGGACGAGACCGTGCTGGGACATGTGACACAGACGCGGGAGTGCAGGGTGACCAAGGCGGTGGTGCCAAAGGAGAGTCGGATGAGTGAGGGACCGACAGGAGCACGCAGCAGCAACCTGGGTGGACGCAGCTACCTGGGGGGAAGACCCAGCCGGGGACGTCGCGGTGTCAAGTGTGAACAGGCCGGACACCGGGTCCCGGGGGAAAGTGGTAAGGGGGGCACCAGTGGCGGCCTCGGTACAGACAGCATACCGCTCGTGACCAGGGAACGTAGTGGTGACGCCAAGGTCCTGGAGGCAGCCGACACCAACTAGGTTCCTGGAGAACGAGGGGATATGCAGACCGGTGAGCGAACCTGAAGGAACCGCCGGACAGGGAAGGGAGGTGGAACTGCGGGCAAAGACGGGACCACCGGAGGGGTCAGCAAGAGTAACTGCAGCAGGAACAGGCAGCGGCGTCAGCGTCGTGGAGTCGCGGAAGAAACACCGGGAGGCGCCAGAGTCCAAGGTGAAGGAAAGCGCAGCAGTCGCGCGGGGCGACAGTGAAGCGGTGGAAGCACCGAGGCTAAGCAAAGCAGGAGATCCTACGCCTGACGCAGCAGGGGAGTCTACGCTAGGCACAGCTACACTAGGCAACACGGGGTAATAAGAGGGAAGCACACTAGAGTCATCGGCATACATCACATGCAAGGCTGCTACAATGGCATCCATGTCCAAGTCAAAAATCCGAATGCTACGCCTAAGCAAGTTGTGCCAGTCCGGGAGGTCGGGCGCCGGGCCAAAGCGCTGGCGGAACAGGTCGTCCAGACGACGAAAACAGCGAGGAGTGGAATGACCGATCTTACCGCAAACGAAGCCGCGGCGAGGACCGGTCTGGATCTGGTACTGACAGGGCCCGCCTCCAGAACCACCACCCGGTGCACCACCACGCGCACGACCACCACCAGCTCCAGGCCACCCAGGCGGGAGAGCACTCGCCGGCCTCGTCTGCGGCGGCTGCTGCGGCTGCTGCGGAGGCTGCTGCTGCTGCGGCTGCTGCAACGGTGGAGGCAGCGGGGCAGCTGGACCGGGCAGGGTCCCCACGTCCGCACCGGCACCGGACGACCCGCCTCCACCACTACCCCCACCCGCACCCCCGCCACCTCCGCCGCTCCCAACCTTGGGGCGGCGGCCCTTCCCCGAGCGGGACTGCACTGCAGCAGCAGTCTCAGCCACAGCGACAGAGCCGTCGGAGAAGGTACACTGAGCGGGGGCACAACCCTGAAAGATAGGGACCGGTACTGTACCGCTCGCCTGGGCTATGGAGCGGTGACGAGTCTCTATGGCAGTCAGGGTGTCAACAAAGTCGGTGAGGGTGAGAGCAGCAGGGTGGATGCTAAGGAACTGGTCGCGGGCGGCGGCAAGGCGGTCAGGGAGGCGGGTGGCAAGGAGGTAGAGGGTAGAGGTCATGGGAGGCTGGTGGACTCTAAGCTGTGCATCAGTGCAGGCAGCGCGCCAGGCCTCATCTATCGAGCGCAGGTGGGCAGCGAGGTCAGAGACAGTGGGGAAGGACGCCAGGTCAGGAAAGAGCAGGGGGAGGATCAGGCGACCCACTGAGGCAGCAGGAGGGGTAGAATAGCGCTTGATGACAGCATCGAGGTAGGCCTGGGCGGTAGTAATGGTTCTAAAGCGAGGGCGCTCAAGGGGGGGGAGGGCATTGCTAATGGCGAGCTGAGCAAGGGCATCGCGGGAAAGCCAGACAGAGCGGGCAAGGGTAGCTGCGGCAGTGGACTCGCGCTCAGCGGGCGTGGGATCAGCAGGCAGCACAGCAGGGGGGTCAGGGCAGAGGAGCATACCGTCTAGGTGTGCAGAAAGCGGGTGGCCGTCCTGCCGCTGACCAGTGAGGTGGCGGCGAAGGTCAGCCAACCACGCCTCGAACTCCAGAGGCTGACCCTCAGCATCAAAACGAAGCTCAGCAGCCATGAGGGGCAGTGGAGGACAGTGGAGTGCGGTGTAGTGCTGTGCAGTGCGGTGCAGGGCGGTGCAGTGCGGTCCAGTGCGGTGCAGTGCGATGCAGTGCGGTGCAGTGCGGTTCCGTGCGGTGCAGTGCGGTCAGTGCGGTTCAGTGAGGTGCAATGCGGTGCAAGGCGGGGCAGGAAAGTGCAGGAGGGTGCAAAGTGGTGCGGGGAACGGGGGACAGTACCAGGAAGTATGGAGGGCCGGGGCAGGCGCGACGGGGCCGGGCAGGCGCGACGGGGCCGGGCAGGCACGTCGAGGCCGGGCAGGCGCGACGGGGCCGGGCAGGCGCGACGGGGCCGGGCGGCTGCGACGGGGCCGGGCGGCTGCGACGGGGCCGGGCGGCAGCGACAAGGCCGGGCGGCAGCTACGAGGCCGGGCGGCTGCGACGGGGCCGGGCGGCTGCGACGGGGCCGGGCGGCTGCGACGGGGCCGGGCGGCAGCTACGAGGCCGGGCGGCAGCGACAGGGCCGGGCGGCAGCTACAAGGCCGGGCGGCAGCGACAGGGCCGGGCGGCGGCGACGGGGCCAGGCAGGACACAGCAGGGCCGGGCGGGGGCGACGAGGCCGGGCGGGCGCGACGGGGCCGGGCAGGTGCGACAGGGGCCGGGCAGCTGCGACAGGGGCAGGGCGGGCGCCACGGGGCCGAGAGGCCGCGACAGGGCCGAGCTGGGGCGACGGGGCCGAGCAGGGGCGACGGGGCCGAGCAGGGGCGACGGGGCCCAGGAGGGTGGATACGGGGCCCAGGGAGGAGCGCGGCAGGGCCCAGGAGGGGCGCAACAGGCCCAGGAGGGGCGCTACGGGCCCAGGAGGGGCGCAATGGGGGGCCCAGGAGGGGCGCGGCGGGGCCCAGGAGGGGCGCAATGGGGGGGCCCAGGAGGGGCGCTACGGGCCCAGGAGGGGCACGACGGGGCCCAGGAGGGGCGCTACAGGGCCCAGGGAGGGCGCGACGGGTCCCAGTAGGGGCGCTACGGAGCCCAGGAGGGGCGCGACGGGGCCTGGGAGGGGCGTTACGAAGCCCAGGAGGGGCGCTACGAAGCCCAGGAGGGGCGCGACGAGGCCCAGGAGGGGCGCTACGGGGCGCGACGGGGCCTGTGAGGAGCGCGACGGGGCCCAGGAGGGGCGCTAGGGGGCGCGACGGGGCCCTGGAGGGGCGCTACAGAGCCCTGGAGGGGCGCGACGGGGGCCTGGAGGGGCGTTACGAAGCCCTGGAAGGGGGGCGCGACGGGGCCTGGAGGGGCGCTACGAGGCCCTGGAAGGGGCGCGACGGGGCTAGGGGGAGGGGTCGCGACTGGGCTCAGGAGGGGCGAGGCGAGGCTAGGAGACGCGACGGGAGGAGCGGAAGCGGTAGGGTGGGGGGGGGGGGGGGGGGGGTCGAAACCTACTCGTGATACCATATCAAACCTAGAATTTAATAATGTGAGAGAGAGAGTACACAAACATATACCTAAATGTTGTACTCTCTAGAAGGTGACCCTATACAGTCTATACGAACATGATAACTACACATGTTTGACACAGCTGTGAGGCCGAGATCTACGCCGATGCCATGCCGGCACAGGAGCTCCGCTGGCTGACTTTTTTGCTCACCGACTTAGGTGAGCGGCCTAGCTCTGCCCCAGTCCTGTACGCTGACAACAGGGCCATGTTCCTCCTGTGCCAGGAGCCTCGATTTGAGGGGAGAGCGAAGCACATCCAGCTGCGGTACTTCCTCATGCGTGAGCTATAGCAACGTCGCCAGGCTCGCGGAGTACACTTTGCCTCCAGTGCCAACACAGCTGATATCTTTACGAAGGCGCTTGCGCCTAAAGATCATCAGCGGCACTATGTACAGCTAGGTCTTGTTCCTGTTGCCTCTCACCAGCTAGGGCCTTGATTGTGTATAGACCTTTATATATATGTGTTAACCTGACTGGCTTTGTGGCCCTTCCCAGTGGTTGGACTAGTAGTGCCTCTCTGGTCTTGCTCTTGTTGTTTCTGTAATCCTTTGACTGGTCTTGAATCCTACAACGCCATGGGTCATGGAGCCTGTGACTGAGAAGTCTGTTGCCTCCCCTCCCCTGGCTGCCTCTGATTCGGGCTAGTAAGAGTGCCTGCAGTACGAGAGAGTACAGACAGACCCCTGCCCCTGCCTCACCCCACCCCTGCCTCTCTGCCCTCCAGCTCACCACTACACCCCACCCCTGCCCCCCTCCCTTCCATCTCTCCACTATACCCTACCCCTGCTCCCCCTATCCTCCTTTCGCCAGCACTAGGCCCCACCCCAACCCCCAAGCTCAGTCCTCACTGGAGCACTAGGCCATCCCACCCCAACCCCCAAGCCCAATCCTCATTGGAGCACTAGGCCATCCCACCCCAACCCCCGAGCCCAATCCTCTCTGGAGCAATAGGCTATCCAACCCCATCCCCGACTCCTGTCGTCCCGCCCACAGCACCGTGCCATCCCTCCCCAACCCCCAGCCCAAACCTCCCCTCCAGAGCACTCTGGCACCCCACCCAACCCCCAGGCCACACATACATCCCCAGGCCACACATACATACCCAGGCCACACATACATACCCAGGCCACACATACATCCCCAGGCCACACATACATCCCCAGGCTGATCCTCTCCTCAACCCTCGAACCGCCAAGACCAACCTCATCCCACCCCTGGTTCTCCCCTTCTCCCTTCTCTCCTCTTGCAGCCATTCGCAGCAAGCACTAGGTCGCATATGGCACTAGGGCACCCCGTTTCAAGGTGACTTTGAGTCGACTCAGAAGTCATATCAGGGCACTAGGGCACCCCTTTTCAGCTCCCCACGCCAAGCCCCCCAAACCTGATCCACACGTCGGCCCTCAACACATCAGCATCGACCTCTCGGGATCATCTCCACACTGCGCCCCACCCCTGTTTCCCCTCCCTCCCTTCCCAACAAGCACTAGGCTACCTCGCCTCTGTTGCTCCTCCTCTCTCTATTCACAGTGAACGTACACTAGAACCAACCCATTTCAGCTACCCATGCCAAACCTCCCAAATCTGACCCGCTCTTCGGCCCTCAACACATCCGTATCGACCTCCCTGGACCAATGAGGGAGCTCCCGGTTCCCCAGGAAGTGTGCAACAGCTCCGAGAATGCGGGGGTCTCGGAAGTACGCCCCGTGGTTGAGGTCAAACCGGCCGGTCAGTTCTCCGAACCTCTCCTCAATCATCACACACAGCTGCTTCACCTGCGGGAGAGAGGGCGGGGAGGGTGACATATGAGGGTGATGAGGGAAGAGTGAAATGCAACGGTTGCTGAACCCTAAGCCCTACACTCCAACCGCTCCTCAATCATCCACACAGCTGCTTCACCTGGGAGAGGGAGGGCGAGAGACAGATGAGGGTGGAGAGGGGAGAGTGGATCACAGCGCACAGCTGCTTTGCCAACTGAGGGATGAGAGGTACGGGCTTGCAGATCGCCCAAACCGCTCCTCAATCACCACACACAGCTGCTTCACCTGTGGAAGGTATGGCGAGAGACAGATGAACGAAAAGATGGGAGAGTGGATCACAACGCACCGCTGCGTCACCTGTGAGGGAGCTGTGATTGTGGAGGGGGGAGAGCGAGACACAATGCACAGCTCACATCAACGCTATGTAGAGTGCGAGCCAGCAGCTTCGCTTGCACAACCGCTCCGCTTCACCCACAGCTCAGCTGCCTTACCTGCCGCACACACCCCTCGTCGCTCAGTTGGGGGTTGTGTGTGATCGCCGGCATCTGCCCTTTAGGTCGGCTCAAAAGTCACTTGTCAACCCGATCACACACATTTTTTAGGCGCCTCAAAAGTCGCCAGCATCTGCCCTTTAGGTCAGCTCAAAAGTCACTTGTCAGCCCAATCACGCACAGCTGCCATGCCTGCCGCACACACACCCCATCACCCAGCCGCGGGTTGCGGGTGATGGCCAGCATCTGGCTCTTAAGGCACCTGAAGGAAATGACATCATGCGCAGCTGGCCTACCTGCCGCACACATTCCTCGTCGCTCAATCGCGGGTTGTGGGTGATGGCCTGCATCTGCGGCCGCAGCAGCTTGTACGTCTCCGACTGCCTCGCCGCTGCTTCCAGCGCCCCGTCGTCCCACAGAAACTCGTACGCCAGGCGCTCCCTTGGCGTCCCTTGCTCCCTCGTAATGGCCTCTCTCATCTCCTGCCCTGGGCTCAACCGCTCTTCCTGCTGCTCCTGGTGCTTCTGGTTATGCTGATGCTCCTGCTGCTGCATATTGACTGTTACGACGTCATTCCGCACTCCCTCACTGCTCCCTCCTCCACCCTCCAACAACCGAGCCTCCGCATGCCCTTCCTTCTCTCCCCCCGTCCCCTCCCCTCCCCTCGTTCCCTCTCCCCTCGTTCCCGCCTCTTTGCCTCCGTCTGAGTCCAAATGCGGGTGTCGTGCAGATCGCTCACTGAAGGTCACTCGTCTTCGGAACCGGCTCAGACTCCTCCTCCCGCTACCTGTCACCGCTCCCACTTCCCCCTCCATCCTCCCCCGTTCCTCACTCTCCCCCTCCCCTCTCTCACCCTCCTCCCTCTCACCCTCCTCCCTCTCACCCTCCTCCCTCCCACCCTCCTCCAACTGTACATCCCCCTCCTGCCCCTTTCTCTCCCCCGCCTTTTCCTCCTTCCCAGTTGCTCCCTCCCCAGTTACCCCCTCCGCAGGTACCCCCTCCCGGGTTGCACCCTCCCCGAATACAGCCTCCCCCATGTCGCAGGTGTCATCCTCGTATCCCGCCATCAGCTCCCCCTGTAGCGACCGGGTCTTGGCCAGCGCTAGCAGTTTCTGGGAAGGATGGGGGGAGGGGGGAGAGGGGTTCGCGGCCAAGCTCAGTTCCTTGCATTGCTGCACCCACCTCCACATCCCATTCCTGTTGCACCAACCCACCTGCACATTCCAGCACTCGATGTGCACATTGAACATCCACACACAGCTGACAACACTCGGGGTGGAACACTCGCAAACACCCCGCCTGCCCTGCTGATGTTCTATCCTGACTGCACATTCCAGAGCCCGATGTGCTGCGATGTTATCCCCAGGACGAGCCACTCATCCCCAAACACACTCATCGTGTGCTACAGTGCCACATGCAGTGCCACATGCAGTGCCACACGCAGTGCCACATGCAGTGCCACACGCAGTGCCACACGCAGTGCCACATGCAGTGCTACATGCAGTGCCACACGCAGTGCTACATGAGTGCATGCACACTTTTCCCATGTGCCAACCCACCTGCACATTCCAGTGTTCGATGTGTTGCGATGACAGCCCCAGGTCGAGGTGCTCGTCCACAAACACACTCGCAAAGCTCAGCTCCTTGGCCGATAGCCCAAAGCTGATGGTCACAATCACGTTCCGCACGACCGATATAACCACCGGGGCCAGCAAGCGCGACAGCAGCGCCACAGCCGCAGCGGGCAGGATGAAAATTATATTCCACAGGAGGATCCGGGCAGAGTTGCTGAGGTAGAGCGTCCAATCGGAGAAGTTTTTCGTGACCGGGCGGTGCGGGAGGCTCTTCCAGAAGGGCAGCTTGAGCATGGAGGCCAGCTGCGGGAACACATAGGCTCGGGCGATAGGCTCGGTGGAGAGTGCCAGGCTGGCCTCGTCTAGCTTGCCCGCGTGGACGACGAGCGCTGACATGGCATGCGACCAATCAAAATCCGGCGCGTGGTAGATGTTGCCGCTGTAGAAAGCAGTGCTGCGCCAGAGCTGGGGGCGTAATGGGGAAGGGGGGGGCGGAGGAAAAGAGAAGGGAGGGGAGAAGCAAGGGTGGAGACGGACGGGGAAGGGTCAGCAAGACTGATTAGTGGCAGATGTTGCCCCTGTAGCACGCAGTGCTGCGCCACCGCTGGTGAGGGGGGGAGAGGAGAAAGAGGGTGGGCAGGGAAGGCAGGAGATTAGAGTCCCAGTAAAAGTGCGAGTGGTGGATGCCGCAGTTGTAGCAAGCAGTGCTGCGCCACAGCTGGTGAGGGGAAGACGAGGGAAGTGAGGAGAGAAGTGGGAGAGAGAGGAGAGGGAGAGGGAGGGAGGGAGGGAGGGAGGGAGGGAGGGAGGGAGGGACGGACGGACGGACGGACGGACGGACGGACTGACGGACGGAGGGAGGGAAGGGGAGGGAGGGACGGAGGGATGGATGGAGGGACGGACGGACGGACGGACGGACGGACGGAGGAACGAACGAACTAACTAACTAACTAACTCCACACAATCGATACAATCATACACGCACCTCCATTGCCACACTGATGATCGCAAAAATCAGGACAGCCATTGCGAGGGCAAAGGGCACGTAGGTGGGGGACTCGGACCTGATGCAATGCGAGGGCAGGGAAAGATAGGGCGGGAGGAAAGGGGAAGAGGAGAGAGAAGAGAGAGAGAAGAGAGAGAGAAGAGAGGGAGAAGATGGGAGTGAAGATGGGAGTGAAGATGGGAGAGAAGATGGGAGTGAAGATGGGAGAGAAGACAGAGAAGGGCACTTAAGTGGGGGACTCAGCTCCGATGCCATGCGAGGGCGGGAGAGAAGGGAGTGAAGTGAAGGAAGTGGGGGAAGGGGGGGAGGAGGGAAAGGAGGGAAGGGAGAAGGAGTGAAGACAGGGAGGACAGGAGAGGGCATGTGGGTGAGAGATGCAGCTCAGGTATGGAAGGGAGATAGAGAAGGGATGCAGCTCTGGTACTATGCAAGGGAGGGGGAGAGGACAGAGAAAGGAGAGAAGGGAGGGAAGGGAGAGAAGGGAGAAATGGGAGGGAAGGGAGGGAAGGGAGAGAAGGGAGAAATGGGAGGGAAGGGAGGGAAGGGAGAGAAGGCCACATTGATAATTAAATAACTTGAGAACTCTTGAAAGGCAACTTCATAATTCTCAAAAGCCAACTTGAGAAATCTCAAAAGCCAACCTGAGAATTATCAACAGCCGACCTGCGGATTCTAAAAAGCAGACTGCCCTCATGAAAGCAGACTGCCCTCTTGAAAGCAGACTGCCCTCATGAAAGCAGACTGCCCTCTTGAAAGCAGACTGCCCTCTTGAAAGCAGACTGCCCTCATGAAAGCAGACTGCCCTCTTGAAAGCAGACTGCCCTCTTGAAAGCAGACTGCCCTCATGAAAGCAGACTGCCCTCTTGAAAGCAGACTGCCCTCTTGAAAGCAGACTGCCCTCTTGAAAGCAGACTGCCCTCTTGAAAGCAAACTGCCCACTTGAAAGCAGACTGCCCTCTTGAAAGCAGACTGCCCTCTTGAAAGCAGACTGCCCTCTTGAAAGCAGACTGCCCTCTTGAAAGCAGACTGCCTATTCGTGCCCCATCTCACCTCCCAATGCTTCCAGCACTCGCCAGCACCACCACCTGCCTGCCACAGCAGCACGTAGCCCCACACCGCCACAAACATCACCACCATGGGCCAGCTGCTTACCTTCCGATCCGCCCAGCGCTTGCGAGCACCACGAGCTGCCAGAGGAGCACGTAGCCCCACATCACCACGAACATCACCACCATCGACACGGCCGTCGTCCCCAGCAGCAGCGCCACCCCGTTGCGCTCCCACTTCTTCACATAGAAGGGCGTGCCCAGGAAGATGAGGGAGCCCAGCGCGTTGGAGAGGGGGCTCGTGGCGAGGCGGTGGGCGAGGAAGAGGCGCTGCCGCTTGGTGGGGAGGGCGAGAAGGGAGTCCACCCAGCGGGAGCAAGCCCAGGGGTACTGCTCCTTCACCGATGTGGCTCTCTGGCCGGTCATGCTGGGGTGAGGGGTTGTGGGGGACCGGGGATGGGGATGGGGATGGGGATGGGGATGGGGATGGGGATGGGGATGGGGATGGGGATGGGGATGGGGGATAGGGATGGGGATGGGGATGGGGATGGGGATGGGGATGGGGATGGGGATGGGGATGGGGATGGGGGATGGGGGATAGGGATGGGGATGGGGATGGGGATGGGGGATGGGGGATAGGGATGGGGGCTAGTAGGGAGGAAGGACAGAGACGTTTGGTTCGAGCCAGCGGTAGCAAACCCAGGGGTCTGCTCTTTGACAGATGTTACTCTCTGGCCGGTCATGCTGGGTGGGGGGTGGGGGGAAGGGGAGAGGGGGGAACGGATCGTAATAAGTCCGTAACTTGGCTTTATGGCAGCATGAGGAGTGGGAGGTAGGGGACGCAAGAAAGAGGGTGGGAGTGGGAGGTAGGGGACGCAACGCAAGTGCCATACCAGCTTACTCTTCCTCACCACAACGAGGGGGAAGAAGCGAGCAAATCAGCACGAGAAGGGTAGCAACTTGGCTTCATGGGAGGGTGAGAAGACGGAGGTAGGCAGCATGAGGAGTGGAGGGTAGGGGACGCAAGAGCCGTATCAGCTTACCTCCTCCGCACCACGAGAAAAGGGAAGAAGCGCCACAGGGTGTTGGAGACGTCCGGCTTGCGCCAGTGGCGAATCATATCGTATCTGCTCTTGTACGCCGCCCAGAACTGCTTCTGGACGGCTGGTGGGAGATCGGAAACAGACCGGCTTCCCAGGCGCTTCATGTACTGGAGGTGGGGGGTTGTCGGAAGGGGGGGGGGGTGTGGGGAGCGCGAGGAAGAGGACAAGGAATTGAGGTTGGGAAGTTGGAAGCAGACCTGCTACCCAGGAGCTTCATGTACTGAATGGGGGCGTAGCGAGGAAGGAGGGGAAGAAGAGTTGAGGTTGGGAAGATATTGCCCGGCTTCCCCAGGCGATTGATGTACTGGAGGAGGGTGGGGTGAGGAGGGGGGAGGGGGGATGGGGGAGGGGGAGGAAAAGAAGGGGGGGGGAGCGGCGTTGAGGATGGGGTTAGGGTGAGGAGACAAGCTAGAGGATGGAAACAGAAACTCCAAGCTGCTAACAGAAACTCCTCCCTGCAGCTGTTCCTCCAATGAGTGACGAGCCTTGGGATCTCACTTACGTGCTCCCCAGGCGCTTCATATACTGAAGGAGGGTGCAGTGGGAAGGGAGGAGGGGGGAGAGCAGAGAGAGAGAGTAGGGAGGGGGAAGAGCGGAGAGAGGGGTGCTGAGGTTTGGAAGAGAGGGAGGAGGTAAGGAAGGGATGAGAAGGAAGGAGGTGAGGCTATGGGGGAAAACGACAAAAGCGACGAGGCTTTAAGCAGCACTCACCAGTTCTGTGGCTTTAAGCAGCACTCACCAGCTCTGTGGCTTTAAGCAGCACTCACCAGCTCTGTGGCTTTAAGCAGCACGTTGCCCCCGTGGGAGTGAGCAATGACGTGGATGCGAGCCGAGGGGTCATTGGTTGCAATGAAGTTAAAGATCCGCGAGAGCTGTTTGAGGTTGAAAAAAAGGGGGAAGAGGGGGGGGGGGGGGGGTGGCCGGGATGGGCAATGGCGTGGATGCGCGTTGAAGGGTCGTTGGTGGCAATCATGTTACTGATCCGCTAGAGAGAGGGGGGAGAGAGGGAGGAGAGAGGGGGGAGAGAGGGGGGAGAGAGGGGGGAGAGAGGGGGGAGAGCGGGGGGAGAGAGGGGGGAGAGAGGGGGGAGAGAGGGGGGAGAGAGGGGGGAGAGGGAGGGAAGACAGGGGAAGGGGGAACGAAGAGGAGTGGGGAGAGGAGGAAAGAGAAGAAAGGAGAGATGGCAGGTGAGGGGAGAGGTGCTGACGGGAATAGGGGGAGAACAGGGGAGAGAATTGGGGAAGAATTGGGGGAGAATTGGGGGAGAATTGGGGGAGAATTGGGGGAGAATTGGGGGAGAATTGGGGGAGAATTGGGGGAGAATTGGGGGAGAATTGGGGGAGAATTGGGAGTTTGACTGTGTGGTATCATGCCATAGCTTGTTTGCTTGAAATGGTCTCGAAGGACTTCATAATAGATGTTCCAGGCACCATTATTACCACGCGGATTTCAGCCTGAGACGCGGAATTCTAGTGGCACGAACTACTCGATCATATATTTCCTGGACGACTTTCGAGTCGACTCAGGACTCATCTTTTCTAGTTACCTACTTTGTGCGCCGCGTCGACGCGTCCTTCGTGTGTGTTCGTGCCGTCCCAGTGAAACGGATGCGGGATGCCGGATCGCGCCGGCAGCGCGGACGGCAGCTCGCGCCACACGCACCCGCCGCCCAGCGGGCCGTCCGCTAGAAGCGCGCCGATCTTGCTGCAGAAATTCTGCTCGCCGGGCGCCGCGGGCTGGTACCACGTGCGCGACCCGTCGGCCGGCGGCGCGTCGAACGTGCCGTGTACGACGACGACGTAGTGCGTCTCGTGCGACGCGTCGAACGACACCGTGCGACAGCTCGTCAGCGGAGGCGCCTCCGGGTCCGCGTCCTCGTTATAAGGTCCCCTGGTGAAAGGGTTGTGGAGCTTGCAAAACTTATGGCTGCATCTCAGAGAAAAACACCCGCAAGAGTGATCCAAGTCCTCAGGTTCATTCGAGTCGGCTAACCTTTCATGCTCTGCTGCTGCTGCTGCTGCTGCGCCGGCTGCCGTTGCCGCGGACGGAGGCGCGAGCACTCTACTATTTCCGCTAACACCAGCATCGTCGCTGCTGTCCATCTAGGAGCACTACTTCGAAAAGCCGGAAGCGTGACTCAAAATGGCACTCTTCAGGATAATTTCTAAAAGCACCTCTCGTCAATAAATTTGCTAAAAATACCAAAAATGCCTACTTGGAAAGGGTGGTATGGCTGTCCATCTTTGGAGGGTTGCACACTTGGAGAGGTCGGACGCGACATGGTTGGGTACAAATGGTTTCAGTGGTTTAAAGTGCGGTGACAGGGCGGTTGACAAACAAGGCGAGAAGGATGATGACGAAGCTGCAGGGCAGATGAACTCTCGGGAAGAGGGGGCTCCACTTCACTCTTGGGACGAGGGGGTCCCACTTGGGTACATTCTTTGTTAGTTTAGGAGGTGCAGTAAGGTACTCCATGGTCAGAAACGGTTCTTTTTCTTCACCGCATTTGAACGTCACGCACCAGACTCAACCGTACGTAGCGAACTGAAAACGAACGCGTGGCACGGCCTGACGAGCCGCCTGGCATCAATTCCTCGGCGTGGTTTCAATTTCCCCCCCCGAAATACCCGCTACAAAACCTGCTCAGGGAGTATCCCAGATTCGTGTCAATTTCCGTGTCAAGCAAACTGACACGGAAATTTATTGGGCATTTTTGGGTATACTGTACCTTGGCTGGGCGGTCTGGTTACGAGGCGCTTGACCCGAAAATTGCCACGAATCGAGAATGGGGCCTCATTCCAGTCTCCTCCAAACTTCGTTGTCAGGCTTCACCACAGTTCTTGTGCTTGCTTGCGCAGCCGCATGCAGGCTTGTTCACGTGCTGTATTCAAGGTATTGCACACCTCGATTCCACCACATGCGCACTCGTAACATAACGTTATTAAAACTGCGCAGTTGTAGCAGACAGCGTATATATACATCAACATTCTTGAAAGCAACCTTCATCTGTAAGCGTATGTTGCACATACTAAATAATCCAGTCTTTTAGTTCCGTGTAATAAAGCTACAACGGTAGCCACATGTTCATAGAATACTGAAACCAATACATCATCTCGTGCGTTCAAAGTCACAACACCCATCACCACAACCACCAGCCTTGCCTGGCAGAAACTCGGAAATAACAGTTTCTTGCATCACCCATATTAGACCCGTTGGGTGACCCCAACCTTACCCTCTCATGCGCCCACTTAGCAGTTGAATAGTGTGCTACAACCACACCAACTGCTGCAAGCGCACCTTGCCTAAGCGTGAGCACCCTGTCCTTGTTCCTCTCGTTAGCAGCACGTCCCCATGACACTCCTCATGCACTCACACCCCATCCCCTCACCCACATTTTGCATGTCGTGAGCACATCCTGTTCCCGGCTCGCACGCTTGCCTCGGCATTCTCAGAATTATCAATCTGCTGCCCGCAAACCGCACAGAAATTCCCCGCCGAGTGCACCGAGCTGTTCTGGTACCGCTCAAACAGGTCGCCGCCTCTTATGGAGTCGTGGTCGTTCATTATATAGGGGACGCGCTGGTCCCAGGGGTTGCTACGGGGGTTGGCGGTTGGAGTCGTTAGTGGCTTGCTGTCTAGTTTCTTTGAGGACTTGGAGAGAGAGCTGGAGTAGCTCTTGCTCTGGTTGGGGAGGGGCGGAGGGGGGGTGAAGGAAAAAGGCACAAGCCAATGAGGAAAAAGCAAGCAATGGGCACAAGGAATGGCAGCAAGCAGGGGAAGCAAGCAGTGGCAGGGGGCAGGGGAAGCAAGCAGTGGCAGGGGGCAGGGGAAGCAAGCAGTGGCAGGGGGCAGGGGAAGCAAGCAGTGGCAGGGGGCAGGGGAAGCAAGCAGTGGCAGAGGGCAGGGGAAGCAAGCAGTGGCAGGGGGCAGGGGAAGCAAGCAGTGGCAGGGGGCAGGGGAAGCAAGCAGTGGCAGAGGGCAGGGGAAGCAAGCAGTGGCAGGGGGCAGGGGAAGCAAGCAGTGGCAGGGGGCAGGGGAAGCAAGCAGTGGCAGGGGGCAGGGGAAGCAAGCAGTGGCAGGGGGCAGGGGAAGCAAGCAGTGGCAGGGGGCAGGGGAAGCAAGCAGTGGCAGGGAGCAGGGGAAGCAAGCAGTGGCAGGGAGCAGGGGAAGCAAGCAGTGGCAGGGGGCAGGGGAAGCAAGCAGTGGCAGGGGCAGGGGAAGCAAGCAGTGGCAGGGGCAGGGGAAGCAAGCAGTGGCAGGGGGCAGGGGAAGCAAGCAGTGGCAGGGGGCAGGGGAAGCAAGCAGTGGCAGGGGGCAGGGGAAGCAAGCAGTGGCAGGGAGCAGGGGAAGCAAGCAGTGGCAGGGGGCAGGGGAAGCAAGCAGTGGCAGGGGGCAGGGGAGGCAAGCAGTGGCAGGGGGCAGGGGAAGCAAGCAGTGGCAGGGGGCAGGGGAAGCAAGCAGTGGCAGGGGGCAGGGACGTACCCTAAATTTGGCGAAGAAGGACTTGGAGCCGGGCGGCTTGGGCACGGGGCAGGCGGAGGGGTCAGCGGCAGCAGAGGCGGCGAGCAGGTCCACCACCAGCACAGTGATGTCGTCCCGCAGGCCCTTGGCCTTGATGGACTCCTGGCAGCGTTGGGGGAGGGTGGGAGGAGACAGAGATGACACAAGGCAGATACCACAGGGTGGAGGGCAGGCGGAGGGGTGAGATGCAGCAAAGGGGAGTGATGGTGGCGCATGGCAGTCCTCTGCACCCCCTTCCTGCCTTGTCTGATTCCACCGCATCCCACACCACGTCAGACGCCATGGCTCAATCAAACAGCAGAGGGGAGCATGAAACACCAACAAGCCAACACCCAGCACCCAGCACCCAGCACCAACAAGCCAACGCATCTTCACTAGCAGGGGGTGAGCAGCGATGCAGGGCAGGGCACCCCCCTGCACCGCCTCTCTGCGTTGTCTGACTCCACTGCGCCCCACAACCCGTCCCACAGCATCATCAAACCGACATCAGCACCAAGCTCACACAACACCAATCTCCCCAACAACCAGCACACCGTCATTAGCATCGGGGCAGCAGCAGTGCAGGGCAGGCAGGCCCCTGCGACGCCTCTGCATCTCCCACCCACATGTATCGAACCCACCTTGACGAGCAGCGGAGCAGCAGCGGTGCACGGCAGGCCCCTGCACCGCCTGGCAGCCTTGTCTGACTCCACTGCGTCCCACAGCCCGTCTGACGCCATCACCACCCTGCCGCCCACTTGGGGGATCTGGGATGAGAGGGGAGGGCAGAGGGGAGACGCAGAGGGGAGAGGGGAGGGCAGCTTGGTATAGAGATAAGCATAGAGATAGACTCCACCGTGTCCCACAGCCCGTCCGACGCCATCACCACCCTGCCACCCGCTTGGGGGATCTGCAGGTCTGAGAGGGCGGGGAGGAGAGGCAGAGAGTCAGAGACACGCGGGCACGTGGGAAGAGAGAGACAGAGGGTCGAGGGCACGTGGGAGGGGCACACAGAGGGGCGTGGCAATTGTGGGGAAGTGAGGGGGGGAACTGCAGAGTTAAGACGTTGGGAGGGTGGAGCACGGCAGTAACACACGCGCACACACGCACCTGCGCACACCCACCTGCTTTTGAGTCGACTCAAAAGCTGTAACTACTTGACGTGCGCCCATTCCCACGTGCCCTCGACCCTTGCCCCCATTCCCCCTTTCCCCACACCCCCACGTACCTGTATCTGCTTGACATGCGGCAGCGGGGTGATGAACGTGCCGCAATCCACATCGCCTATTGACCGTGACACGCACAGCCCCCCCGGCCAACTGCGCAGCGGGCCCAGCTGCAAGCACGGAGGACGGAAGAGGGGAGAGGAGCGAGGAGGGGTGGCCTTTAAAGGCACACACATGCCACAATCCACATCGCCTATCGACCGCGACACACACAGCCCACCTGGCCAGCTGTGCAAGCACGGAGGAAGGAAGAAGAGGGAAGGGGGAAGAGCGAAGGGAGGGGAGGGAGAAGGGGAGGGAGGAAGGGAGGGAGGGAGGGAGGGAGGGAGGGAGGGAGGGAGGGAGGGAGGGAGGGAGGGAGGGTGGGCTGGAGGGAGGGAGGGAGGGAGGGAGGGAGAGAGGGAGGGAGGGAGGGAGGGAGGGAGGGAGGGAGGGGAGTGCTGAATAAGACAAAACACACAGCACCCTTGGTTGTATGCTCATCTCGCCTCCCAACCCTTCACACAGTTATTACGCACACACTGTTTTTGAGGTGCCTAAAAAAAAAGAATTCACACAGTTATATTACCTAGTCACTGTTTTTTAGGTGCCTAAAAAAAAGAATTCACAGCTATATATATTACCCAATCACTGACTTGAGGATCCGACTGCATCAGGCTCATGTGGCATCAGGCTCATGTGGCATCAGGCTCATGTGGCATGGGGAACCAACAGAGCAACCATTGTGTTTTCGGAAATTCGTCAAGTACCAACACATGGTCTCACACACACGTGGTCTCACACACACCTGACAAAACACCTGATCGCCCTAGCAACACAGCTTGGTGCCACACCTGACAGCACACCTGGCGATTCTCACAACCCACCTGACAGAGCCTGACGACCTTGGCAACTCAGCTGGTGTCACACCTGACGACTCACCTGACCACCCTGGCAACTCACCTGACCACCCTGGCAACTCACCTTACCACCCTGGCAACTCACCTGACCACCCTGGCAACTCACCTGACCACCCTGGCAACTCACCTGATCACCCTGGCAACTCACCTGACCACCCTGGCAACTCACCTGCATGCCATCAAACGTCCGGAGCCTCGCCAGCTGGCCGCCCTCCTTGAGCACTCTGTTGCACCTGGTCAGGTGGTTTCAACAGAGAGGCAAACCCGAGAGAGCCAAGCACAAGGCGAACAAGAGTCAGCCCAACGCAAGCCCGACAGGCAAGCTGAGGAAAGCACAGGCAATAATAACCCTAGAGCCCCAGCCAGATACCTTTTAGCCCTGACAGCACGAAGCACTGGGAGAGCCCGACAGGCAAGAATAACCCTAGAGCCCCCTCCAGATACCATTTAGGCGCCTCGAATCGGTGGTCCAGAGAGGGAAGGCGAGTGACGCACCCCCTAGTGGCTAGTGGTTTCCAAAATAGCTCTCGAGTTCCCCACTGCTGCCTTTGAGACAACCCCCCACCACTGCCCCCCTTCCCCCCCCCATCCCCCCCCATCCCCCCCCATCTCCTTCCATCCCCCCCCATCTCCTCCCATCCCGAGCACTCACTCGTCCTCAGACACCTCGAACCGGTGGTCCAGCGAAAGGGGCGTGACGCCCCCCCCAGTGGTATCCAGGATCGCCCTCGAGTCCCCCACTGCCGCCACGGTCACCGTCCACCCTGATACAATCGCCACCGTTGCTGTCGTGCCCGACGGCTGGCCGCCTGTTGGAAGGGGGGCGGGATTGGTGGGGAGGGAAGGGAGAGAGGTAGCGTGAATGAGAAGGAGCGTGGGAATAGCCCTCGAGTTCCCTGCCGCTGTTACTGTCACCGTCCACACTGATACAATCGCCACCGTTGCTGTCGTGCCTGAGGGCTGACCGCCTGTAGAAAGGGAGGGAGGGGGGGAGAGGGAGGAAGGCGCATGAGAGTGGGTAGAGAAGAGCGCGAGAGCGGCAATGACTGTCACGAGTCCAACGTCGAGCCCAACGTCGAGTCCCCCACGGCCGCCACTACGACTATGATCGCCACCGTTGCTGTCGTGCCTGAGTGCTGGCCTTTGGTTGTGAACGTGTTGTGTTGTTGTCAGTTGTAACACTCACGCATCGCAAAACGCGGTGCAACTTGTTGTAACACTCACGCATGGCGAAACGCGGTGCAACTTGTTGTAACACTCACGCATGGCGAACGTGTTGTGGCATTTGAGGAAGCCTTCCGCCAGCGCCATGGGGAGCGCCTTCAGCCACGCCTCCCTCTTGCCCCCACTCCCCCCTCCGCCGCCGCCGCCGCCGCCGCTACTGCCGCTCTTCCTCAAGCCCTCATCCGACTCCCCGCCGCCCCCGCCGCCGCCACTCTCTGGCACGTCCGCACCTTCCCCATCCCTTCGTTTACTCGTCACCTCCCCCACCTCCCCCTCGTTCCCCCCCTCCCCCTCGCTGTACGACGCCCCCCCTGGTAGGTGCTCGCTAACGAACCCTAAGAGCTCCTTCTTGCAGTGCACGGCGGCCGCGGTGCCGTTGTGGCCGTCAAACACCTGACAGGAAGGAAGGGGGGAAATGAGAGAGGCACAGAGGGTCGCCAGTGCTCGCTCACAAACCCCAGCAGCTCCTTCTTGCAGTGCACGGCGGCCGCGGTGCCGTTGTGGCCGTCAAACACCTGACAGGAAACGGAAGGGAGAGAGAGGGGGAAGGAGGAACGGAAACGGGAGGGAAGCGCCTTCCTTGCCCGCCCACGAATGCCAGCGGCTCCTTCTTGCAGATCATGGCTGCTGCCGTGCCGATTTGCCCACCGAACAGCTGATGAAGGACGGGGGGGCGAAGGGAGGAGGGGGGGCGAAGGGAGGAGGGGGGGGGAAGGATGGAGCAACGGGAGGGATGGGAAGGGAGGGCCGCCAGTGCTTGCTCACAAACCCCAGAAGCCCCTTCTTGCAGCGCATTGCGGCCGCCGTGCCGTTGTGGCCATCGAGCACGTGAGGACGGAAAAGGGGGGAAGGAAGGGCGGACGACCAACGAAACGTAGTGCTTTCAATCAGTATACTGCTCGCTACGAAACCCAGCGGCTCTTTCTTTCAGTGCACGGCGGCCGCCGTGCCGTTGACCCCTTTGAACACCTGAGAGGCGCGCGGAGACGCACGGGTCAACGGTCGCTACGAAGCCAAAGCAGGTAGCGGCTTCTCGCAGGGCCCGCCAGCGAGAGCGACGATGACGATGGCAAGCAACGCGCTGGACGCAGCGGACTTTTTGAACCGCCTCAAAAAACGACTCACAAGGCAAAGCAGGTAGGCACTTCCTGCACGGCTCGCCAGCGGCAGTGACAGTGACGGTGACGGTGACGGTGACGGTGGCAACCGACGCGCTGAACACAGCTGACGCCTCCTAGGTGCTTTTTCAGTCGGCTCAGAAAACACCTGCTCGCCTGGGACTTTGACGGCGACACACAACGCGCTAAACGCAGCAAAGTCCACTAGGATAAGGAACCGGACTGAACTTACGCAGTACACGCCGCAGCTGACGCTGATTTTGGAGTCGACTAAAAGACCAAAAATCGCGCTGAACGTAGAAGCAATGCCCACGTAGATAAGGAACCGGACTATTCGGTAGGTACTGCGCAAGTTGTTGACATTGTTGACGCCGCCCATGTGGAAATCCTCACCTTTCTTCACTTGCTCTGGCACCACCATGAGACCCACAACCAACGCCATGCAACGGCGCAACGACGAACTCGACAAGTAACACAGCGACGAGCCCACCGAGCAAATGCAACAGGAGCTGTACTTACGCAATACACGCCGCAATTAACGCCGCCCAACCGGTAGTTGGCATGCGCCATGTGAAAATCCTCGCCTTTCTTCACCTGCTCCGCCACCGTGTACCGAACCACGGGATCCGCCATTCCCGGCTCCGAACCCAGGTTCGGAAGCATCCCCATCCCCGCCGCATCTACCGGTCGGCCCTCGGGAATGCCGCCGGTGATCGGGGCGGAGACGGCATCCTCGCTATAAGCAGTGTCCTCGCTGATCGCCGACGTCGATGCGGATTTCACGGTGACTGTTAGCGACGCGACTCCGGCGGACATGGATGCGACCTGTGCAGTCATCGATGGGCTCGAGCGGCTCGAAACGAGAAGAACCGTGAATACGTTTTCCCCCCTGCTGAATAAGATTGCGAACGAGACGTGTCGTGAAGACTAGAGTCGCTCGATCGGACGTTTAGGGCTGAAGCGGCGCTGCCAGACAGCCTTTCAAAATAATGAAAGAGGAGGAGACGGGCGGCGTCGGCGGGAGGAGTTATCCCACAAGAGCTTAGGTTTTGAATCCTAGAATTTAATGTTGGAAGCGGTAGGGGGCAGGGATGCAAGGATGCGCCATATCTTGTCTTTGCAGTCGTTCCTGATGGTCATGTGCTCGATCCGCCACACTGCCATAGCATTCTCGCAGCGCTTAGAGCTCGCTGACGTCAGCATCTACTTAAAGACATCTGTCGCCAGTAACGGAGGATCGCAGACGATGCGAGAAACGGCGAGCGATGCGCGACGAGTCGGTCTTTGAATAGACTGAAACCTCAGCTATGGTGGGTCCAGTCAAACAGAAGACAGTTCGGACGAACAACGGAGGATGGATGGTGGTTGTAGGCGTTTGGAGTTGAAAGCATGGGCTTGGGGACACACAACCACACGACAGAAAGCGCCTTCCTGCTCCGCTGTTTGTGCTAATAGCGAAAGTAGCTGACGATGGCTTCACCCCGTCTCCTAGCAAATGGCTATGAGATAAGGTTGGGCCACAGCGAATAGGCGAGGGAAAGCAAAACCTAGAGATCACAGCTCAGCTTGCTTGTACAGCCACAGCAACCTAGTGCTCTGGAGCTATGGCTGGCTGGTTGCTTCTGGTCTGGTTTTCGGCTACTCGTTGCTCAAGTTGGCATGGTTGGGGCGAACTCATGAGATGGACTAACCAACCAAACCAAAACCGCGGGCCAGGTCAGCAGGTTCACTGTAGAATCACAGAAGTGCATTTTGTGGCACGGGAAGAAGGAACACCAAACCGAACTGGACCCTTTTCTGAGGGTAATAATCGTTTGTGCAGTTATTTTGCTGCTGGGAGTTGGAAAGGCGACCAAGGGTTTGAACTTAAACCATAGTTAGTAAAGTAACATTTCTGTAATGTCCACAAGTCAACCCAGGAAGATTGCCTGTCGGCTGACCGGCTCGTGTGAAAAACGAGGCTGGGCTTGGCAAGAAACATGAGGCAGTCGAGGGAAAAAAGCGAGCGTGGTGGAGTTGCGGTGAACGTCAGATCGCTGCTCGAACGGACCGATTCGACACATATGGCAATGTGCGAGTGGATGAGATAACCGAAGGCTGCAGTTCGATGCCCGTGAGGGCCAGCACATCTCAAATTCGCGTCAGCAGAACCAGGGTTGCATCACATAAACCCATGTGATCGTGGAACTGACGGCGGCTGGTGGTCGTCGAGTCGACTACTCCTCCTCGACCCCAGGAAAGCGGAATGCAGCATTGGCGAAAGATGAAGGCTCGGATCATTTCGAGCTTAGGCACGATTTGATTGGATGGCTAAACCAATATTCAACCAATGGAAAGATCTGCGGGTCAGACTTTTTCCCTCCCAGCCAATCGCATGCGGCTCTTGAAGCCACGGGGAGCCAAGTGAGGCCCGTGTCAGACTAGAGCGTATTTCTTTGGTGCCCGAGAAGGTGGTGTGATAAGCGAAGTGATCGTTACAAGCAGCCGGAATCACGCATTTTTTACAGATGATTTCGACTAGACGGTGACATAGGTGAGGTAGTGTACCGCCGCAAGCACCTAAGGTAGTGAGTAGCTGAACATTCTTCTAAAACAAACACTTCATTTGCATGCCATCGGCAAAAACCTGTTTGTTCCACTGCATCAAGGCTGAAGGTGAAAAGATAAGCATTCACTACTGAAGAGCTATATGCTACAGCAATCATGGTAGATATTCCGTTTATTTAGGAGTCCCATTTGCGAAACCAGGGATGCTCTATAAGGGGGAAGGGGGGGGGGGGGGGGGGGGGGGGTGGTGCATGGGAGGGGTGGGAGTGAGATGACATTTGGGATGAGAATACAAGTGAAGGGAGAATTCAACTCCTACATTAAGTTTTTTCGAGGCCCATTGAAACTCACAAGCATGGGGGAAACGAACGTACCAAGAGCAGCACGCGCAGTTATTCTCTTCTTCTGGTTGTGCGTCAGCAGCTGGCGAATCAGATCCTTTCCCGCCTCTGACACATTCCTCCACACCGCACCCCGGAATGCCACCTTCCCCTCGCGGATCGCCTTGGTCACTTCGGCTTCCGCCTTTGCCCAGAAGGGCGGCACGCCAGCCAGCAGCACATATAGGACAACGCCCGCCGACCACACGTCAGCTGGGAAGCCGTAGGAGCCGTCGATCACCTCTGGAGCGACGTAGTAGAGCGATCCAACGAAGTCTGACAGGGGCTTGGAGCCTGTTGGGGGGAGGGAAGAAGTGAAGAGGATGGAGGACAACAGGGGAAGGAGAGAATGGAGGACAACAGGGGAAGGAGAGGATGGAGGACAACAGGGGAAGGAGAGAATGGAGGACAACAGGGGAAGGAGAGGATGGAGGACAACAGGGGAAGGAGAGGATGGAGGACAACAGGGGAAGGAGAGGATGGAGGACAACAGGGGAAGGAGAGGGCTCGTTCATAAGGGTGAAGCAGCCGTAGGAGCCGTTGGTCGATCACCTCCGGTGGTGATGTTGTAGAGCGATCCAACGAAGTCTGACAGGGGCTTGGAGCCTGTTGGGAGAAGCAGGAGAGTTTGGTGAGGGATGACAAAGAACCTTGGTGGAGGGAGAGGGGCAGTTTGATGGAGGGGGGTGAGAGCCGTAGGACGCATGCGTTGAGACATGCGTAAGAAACTTCTTTCACTGGTGATGGTGTGCCACTCACAAAGCTGCATGGAAAAAATGGGCGCCGGGCGTATGGGCAGCAAACGACCAATGGCAGAAAAGGGCGACAGAGAAACCTACCTGGCTTGAAGATGGCAGAGATGCCGAAATCGATCACCCGGATGTCAGTGTGTGAGTTGGGCGACACGAGGAGGATGTTTTCGGGCTTGACGTCGCGGTGCAGCACGTGGTGGCGGTGGTGGCAGCACTGCAGCACGTCCAGCAGCGCGTGCATCACTCTCGCCGCCTCCCTCTCACCGTACCGCCGCCGCTCCTTTATGCGGTCAAACAGCTCGCCCCCGGAGCACAGCTCCATCACCAGGTGAATGGCCTGGGGGGAGGGGAGTGGGGAAGGGGAGTGGGGAAGGGGAGTGGGGAAGGGGAGTGGGGAAGGGGAGTGGGGAAGGGGAGTGGGGATGGGGAGTGGGGAAGGGGAGTGGGGAAGGGGAGTGGGGAAGGGGAGTTGGGGAAGGGGAGTTGGGGAAGGGGAGTGGGGAAGGGGAGTGGGGATGGGGAGTGGGGAAGGGGAGTTGGGGAAGGGGAGTGGGGAAGGGGAGTGGGGATGGGGAGTGGGGAAGGGGAGTTGGGGAAGGGGAGTGGGGAAGGGGAGTGGGGATGGGGAGTGGGGAAGTGGGGAGTGGGGAAGGGGAGTGGGGATGGGGAGTGGGGAAGGGGAGTGGGGAAGGGGAGTGGGGAAGGGGAGTGGGGGGAGTGGGGATGGGGAGTGGGGAAGGGGAGTGGGGAAGGGGAGTTGGGGAAGGGGAGTTGGGGAAGGGGAGTGGGGAAGGGGAGTGGGGATGGGGAGTGGGGAAGGGGAGTTGGGGAAGGGGAGTGGGGAAGGGGAGTGGGGATGGGGAGTGGGGAAGGGGAGTTGGGGAAGGGGAGTGGGGAAGGGGAGTGGGGATGGGGAGTGGGGAAGGGGAGTGGGGAAGGGGAGTGGGGAAGGGGAGTGGGGATGGGGAGTGGGGAAGGGGAGTGGGGAAGGGGAGTGGGGAAGGGGAGTGGGGAAGGGGAGTGGGGATGGGGAGTGGGGAAGGGGAGTGGGGAAGGGGAGTGGGGAAGGGGAGTGGGGATGGGGAGTGGGGAAGGGGAGTGGGGAAGGGGAGTTGGGGAAGGGGAGTGGGGAAGGGGAGTGGGGATGGGGAGTGGGGAAGGGGAGTGGGGAAGGGGAGTGGGGAAGGGGAGTTGGGGATGGGGAGTGGGGAAGGGGAGTGGGGATGGGGAGTGGGGAAGGGGAGTGGGGAAGGGGAGTGGGGGATGGGGAGTGGGGGATGGGGAGTGGGGGAAGGGGAGTGGGGGATGGGATGCGGGGGGGAAATGTGCAGGGGTTGGTGAGAGGGAGGGAATGCAGGGTGCTGTGTTGACTCTAATAGCTCGCCCCCCATACCACAACTCCCGCACCAGGTGGATGGCTTGGGGAAGGGGAGGCGGGAGAACGAGGGGGAAGAAGAGGAGGGGGGTGGGAAGTGCTCCGGGGGGGCTGTGCATGATGGGAGGGGGTTGGGAATTGCTCGGGACATGCTGATCAAAGGATCTGATTGCGTATCTGTCATCAAAAGGACTACGACGTCAAGAGAACCCTATTTGCTCTAACCACCCATGCAGGCTTTCAGCATGCAAACACCAACTTGCCAGCGCCGTGCTTGCCCACACTCTTCTGAGGCGCCTCAAAAGTCGTCTCATTACTCGCGGTTTTGAGGCGCCTCAAAAGCCCTATTTGCTCTCCCCACCCACGCAGGTTTTCAGCATGCAAAAACAAACTTGCCAGCGCCGTGCTTGCCCACACTCACTCACTCCCACACACTCACTCTCTGGCTAGCGGCGCACACACACACACACACACACACACACACACACACTCCTACTGGATCACTCACCTGCTCGTTCTCCATGACCTCCTTGAGCTGAACCACCTTGGGATGCGATTTAAGCATCTCCATTATTGTCACCTCACGCCTCACATCGTCCGCATCCGATTTGGTCTGCTCTCAAGAGAAAAACGACAGGATGGGAACAGAGGGGGGGAAGAGCAAAGAAATAAAATTAGAGGTCGCGCCTCACGTTGTCCGCATCTGACACGGTCTGCTCTCAAGAGCAGGGCAATGGAAGAGCGAGTGGAGGGGAAATGAGCAGCAGGAAAGGCGATGTGGGGACGCTCGGTGAGAAAGTAAAACATGAGTAAAGGGAGAGGGGAAGATATGACAACACGGGAAACAGTTGAACAATTGGAAAAGCGATTATGTGAATCCGGCAAATAATGTGAATTGGGTGAAGAGTGTGAACTAGGAAATGTGAATTAGGAGAGTACATGGGTGAATAGTGCAATTCAGGTGAATAATATAGATTGGGTGAATCTCCACTAGTCATTTCTTGACAGAATGTACTAAAAGCATAGTTGCACAAGTTTTTTGGGTTCTGGCCTTGTTCTCAACGGGCAATTAACCACTTTCCAGGACATGTTACATCTGATGCAGTAACCCCGTGCGGAAGATTGGGTTGAAATGTAGGACATTTGTTCCGTTATTTTTTCCCCCCTGGGCCCCCCAACATTTCGAAGGTCTGATCTGATGTCGCATTTCTGGACGCCTAACTCCAGCCAAATGTCATCGTGATGAAATTGGGGTCACGAAACTCGGCGAAATTCGATTCCAACCAGAATCTAGGTTGACGCGAACAGGAAAGCTCTACCTGACGTCACTTTGCCAAACAGTGGTCATCTGCACACAGGCATGAGCAAAGGGCGAGTCGAGCATCGACTCGCCCGAGTCGGAACCGAGTCAAGCTAAAACCGAGCCGAGTCTGACCCGAGTCGGCCCGAGTCGGTTTCGCCCAGTTTCTGACTCGTGACTCGGACTTTGGGGGGCGAGTCAGAGTGACTCGCCCGAGTCAGGGCCTGACTCGACCCGAGTCGAGTCAAACTCGACTTGGTTACGGGCATACCCACCTCAGGAAGGCCTAACCTGGCAATCTGGGGACTAACGCGAGGCTAGCAGGCGGCTAGCGGCTAACTGTCCAGACCTATTTTGCTTGCAATAGCGGTCGTCGACGTATGCATGACAGAATGCCCAGATCGATTTTGCTTGTGTCGGGCACAACCGCTCGACCAGATCTGTGCTGCTTGCGTCATGCATGGTATATTTGTGACAACTGTAGACGCGACACCATCCGACAGAATTCCGACTCGGAGCAAAGGAAATTCGACTCGACCAAGTCAAATTTCGACTCGACTCGGGAGCGACTCGGGACATTTTCCAACACCGAGTCGAGCAAAACTCGAGACTCGGGTGACTCGACCCGACTCGAATCTAACCGAGTCAGAGGTACAAAAAAACAAACTCGACTCGCCCATATGGGCGAGTCAAGTCACCGAGTCGAGTCAAAACTCGGCTCGGTTGCTCATGCCTATCTGCACAGAATCAGATTGTACTGCGATGTTCTATGGCGGTTTAAACAGCTGATTGACAATTGCCTTCCAACAGAAAATAGCCTGATGACTGCTGGCGACTAACTAGCACAATGACTGCTGGCGAATTACTAGCCTGATGATTGCTGGCGAACAACAGGGCTTGGAAATTGATTCAAGGTACATATTGACTGAAAAAAATCGCTGACAATGACTGAAGGCACATTGACACTGGCTGACGGTATATCGACATTGACTGAAGATACATTGACACTGATGCACTGAGATGGACTGAGGGTACACTGATACTGATTGGTACATTGACACTGGCTGAAGGTACATTGACTTGACACAGACGGGAAGTACATTGACACTTATTCACATAGATTGACATAAAGCACACTGACACTTATTGAAGGTATAATTGACACCAACTGAAGGCACATTGATGAGTAAAGTACAGTGTCGTTGCCTGATGGTACAATGATAGTCACTAAACAAAACCACGATCAAAATTCCATCCACGTTCGCTGAAGAACAAGTAAATTTAATGGACTGTAAATTTAAGAACAAGTAAATTTAATGGACTGTAAATTTCAGAACAAGTAAATTCAATGGACTGTAGATTTAAGAACGAGTAAATTCAATGGACTGTAAATTTAAGAACAAGTAAATTCAATGGACTATTAACTCACCTTCAGAGCAGCCTTGTTGGTTGCCTTGCACAAAAGAGTTGACGGGCTGGAAACGGAATTCGCCCACAAACAAACAGAGCTTGACTGAAAACAAACTGATCTGGAATGCAAAGACACTGACCTTCAAAGCAGCCTTGTTGATAGTCTTGCACGCAAATCTCTCCCCCGTCGCTCTGCACACCGCCACTCGTGTCACGCCAAATTGCCCCGCCCCCAGCTCCTTATCCATCTGTACCACGTACTTCGCCCCCACATCCTTATACTCCCCCCCCAGAATATTCACCGCCCCCATCCCCCCTCCCCCTCCCCCTCCCACGAGCTTATTTATCCCCCTCATTGCCTTTTCCAGGAATCGCTTCCCCTTGGCGCGGAAAAACGACTGGCGCACTTCCTCTAGAGCGGCGTCGTCTTCAAGCGAGTCGTCTTGTAACGAGGATGAACCGGAGGAAGATGCTGAAGCAGCAGAGGAGGAGCGAGTGGGCGTTTTGGAGCGGCCTTGTGCTGGTGATACTGCTAGGGATGCTTCGTTATAAGCAGATCGGTTATTAGCAGATGCAGTGGAGGCCGAGGAGGGCATTCGGGTGGGAGTCTTGGGCCTGCTTTCAGCTGTCGGGTACTTATCTTCGTTATAAGCAGACCCTACAGAAGCCGAGGAGGGCATGCGAGTGGGAGTTTTGGGTCTGGTTTTGCCTGGTGCCTGCATATCCTCACTATAAGCAGAACCAGTAGATGCAGAGGAGGGCATTCGTGTGGGAGTCTTTGGCCTGCTTTCACCCATTGGCCTTTTATCTCCACCATAAGCAGACCCAACAGAAGCAGAAGAGGACATTCGAGTGGGAGTCTTGGGCCTGCCTTTATCCTCGTTATAAGCAGATCCAGTGGATGCAGAAGAGGAGGTCCGAGTTGGTGTTCTGGATTTGCTTTGGTGGGCTTGGGCAGCAGCAGCAGCAGCAGCAGGAGCAGCAGCAGCAGAAGCAGAAGGAGCAGAAGAAGAGAGGACAACGGCAGTGGAAGAAGTGGAGGAGGAGCGAACTGGTGCCCTTGACCCACCTGAAGCACCTGAAGCACCTGAAGCAGCACCTGAAGCACCTGGAGCGGGACCTGGAGCATGCCCAACAGCGGAGGCAGAAGAAGACGAGCTGACCCTCCGTGGTTGCTTGCTGTTTGCCTGCGTCTGAGAGGAACCTTCCGTGAAACTTCCTGGCTGTGCTCTGCCGCCCCTCCCGTGCCCCTCGCCCCGTCCAGAAGGAGCTTCCCCTCGCGGCTTGGGGGAGGGGGAGGGGGAAGGAGTGGGGGAGGGGGAATTGTGGGCGGAGGCGATTGGGGAGGAGGAGGGGGAGGCTTTGGGGGAGACTGTGGGGGAGAGGAGGGGGGGCCTTGGGGGCGGGCCAGAAGGAACAGCAGCAGCAGCATTAGGGGTGTGTGTAGCACAAGAAATATCGCTGATACTGCTGCTTCTGAATCTCGGTTTCATGCTGCTGTTGCCACTGCCACTGCCACTGACACTGCCACCACCAATGCTGCTGCAGGCACTCCTTTGAATTCGTCCTTCGCCCGAGCTAGAGCTTTGGCCCGGCGCAAGGTTGGTTCGGGGGCTGACCAGAGCTGCTGCGGAGGATTGGTGAGGGTGGGGAGGGGAGTAGTCTACAGAGTGTGTGTGTGACCTAAAAGGATGGTGATTGAAATGAGGGGCGAGGTCTGCTTCTCCTGTAGCAGTCTCAGAATTTGATATAAGGTACAAGTGCTGGTGTGAGTGAGGGGGGGAATAGTCAACGGAGTGAGAGTATGTCATTCTGGGAACGTGACTATGAGGGGGGGAGTAGTCAACCGATGCCACATGGCCGCGCCTGACTGGTCGATGGAGCGACTCGACCTCTGCTGATTGGTGCCGTGCCAGTCTCCTCCCCCCACCAGCCACAACAACCCCCCCTGTTTGACTCACTCCCCCTCCCCCTCCCCCTCCCCCTCCCCCTCCCCCTCCCCGGCCGGCCCCTGCATTTTCAATGCTGCTGCTTCTTGGATTTATCCTCCTAGCAACCCCTTCCCCACTGCCTGTCCTTTTGATCACCCGCTGCTGCTGCTGCTGCTGCTGCTGCCACTCCTGTCGCTGCCGCTGCCTCGACTCCAACTCCTCCGAATACCTCCGCTGCAACCTCCGCCCGCCCGGCGACCCTGCCACGTCAGCACGTTCCACATCATCCTGGTCCCAGTCAGCACCAGCAGCAACCAGTCCCAGATTACCTCGTGGCACAAACAAGGGGTTCTCACCCCCCTCGCTCATGCTCTTGTGCATCGACCGAAACGGCGGCCCATCCTTCACCTGCCGTCGTTGCACCCCCAGCATCTTCCCCCCCTGCATCAGGCCTCCCTGCATCATCTGCCCTTGCTGCTGCCGTGCCCCGCCCTGGGCCCTAGCCTCCAAGCCAAACGGCCCGTTGCCCTCCTCCACACTGCTGCTCTCAGGCACACGAGCCAACGGCTGCGCCCCGTGGGGGCTCACCAGAGGGGGCTGCCCTCCGCGGGGGCTGACTAGAGGGGGCTGGCCCCCGTGGGGACTGACTAGAGGGGGCTGGCCCCCGTGGGGGCTGACAAGGGAGCCCTGGCCCCCACGAGGGCTCACCAGAGGGGGCTGGCCCCCGTGGGGACTCACCAGTGGTGCGTTTTCGGGAGCAATATGGGGGCTGACCTCTAACCCGTCTCGGGACGATCCCTGCAGCCGCACGCGGTGGCTCACCAGAGCAGCGCCTGTGGATGCACCCGGTGCACCAGCCCTGCTCGTATCCCCAATGCCGGTGCTGCCCAGAGTAGCAGCACGCGTTAGAGGAGGGGGGAAATCCACAGAGCCCGCTGCCCTGGGGCCTGGGTGCTGCTGCTGCTGCTGCTGCTGCTGCTGCTGCTGCTGCTGCTGCAGGGGTGTCTCTTTCAACATAGGTTTGCTGCGCCCCTCCATGCTGCTCGCGCTTCTAGGAATGCCAAACAACGCTGCTGGCCCATCCCCATCCCCCCTATAGGCAGCTGTGTTTCCGTACCCTCCTGTATCCGTTTTTGATATGCGTCCATCCCCGGTAAATCCCTTGAATGTGCCCATACCAGAGCCAGTATTTGAGCTGGTGCCTGTGTCTCCTGGCGAGGGCTCCCTGCTTCTGCTCCCCCCCACTGTTGCACTCATGCTACGTGGCAACCCCTCATTGGACGGCGACGGCTCCCTGCTTCTCGGAAGCCTGCGAGGGACAAAAATCTCCTCGCTGCTTCCTCCCCTCCCTCTTTCCCAGCCTCCTTCCATCTCCACTCCCACACCCCCGATTCCATCTCCTCTCCCCCACCCCCCATCATCTCCCACTTCCCCTCTCCCTCCCACCCTCCCACCCTGCCCTCTTCCCCTCCCTCCCCTCCCCCCCCGCGCTCCCCTCCCCCCCTTCGCTCCCCCCCACAGGCGCGGGGACAGGTCAGCAGAAACAGAATAGCTTCGGCCGTGCCAGGCAGAGCCAGGGGCGGGGAAGAGTGCATCCGGGGAGGTGCTTCTGGGGGAGGGGGTACCTGGGGAGGGCAGGGAGCAGCTGGAACGCATAGAGTGGTGTGCGGAGGGCTTGAGTGATGGCCCACCACCACTGCCAGTATCGCTGCCACGGCCACCACTGCCAGTGTTGCTGCCACGGCCACCACTGCCACCGCTGCAATCAGTATTCCCATCGTCCCAACCATTTCTACCATCCCTACCGTCTCTGCCAGCAGCATGAGCATGAGCATGAGCATGAGCATGAGCATGAGCATGAGCATCAGCATCAGCATGAGCATGGTCATCAGCATGGTCATCATCCTCGTCAGAGTCGATGTCCTTCAAGATGAGAGCGAAAGACGGAGAGATGAGCAGCAGCCTCCGCTGCTCCTCTGACTCCACAGCTGTCTGCCCCTGCTGCCCCTGCTGCTGCTGCTGCTGCTGCTGCTGCTGCTGCTGCAGTTGCCCATGCTGCTGCCCTTGCTGCTGCATCTGCTGGTCCCCCACCGGCCGCTCCATGTGCTCTGCCTCATCCTCATCCTCGTCATCATCTACTCCGTTTAGGATATAAGCAAACGAGGGCGACACCAGCCGCATGCGCCGCTGCTTCTCCTCCTCTAACGCGGCAGCCAAAGACGAACCCTCCGCTTCCCCCCCCCTTCCCCTCCCTTCGTCCCCCACCCCGAAAGAAGTCACCCTGATGGCAGCATCACCAGCACCAGGATAAGCAGCAGAAATAGCAGCAAAATCAGTGGCACAATCAGCATTAACTGCAGCAACAGCAGCTGCTGCAGCTGCAGCTGCAGGTGCTGTTGCTCTTGGGACTGCCTTCCCCCCTGGCCCCTCCTCCTCCTCCCCATCACTGTCGTCGTCCACTTGGTTAAGAATGGTGGCGAAGGAGGGGGAGGTGAGATACAGCCGTCTCTGCCGCTCTGCCAACGTCTCACTGCGCTCCAAATCACCAGCACCCGCATCAGCACCAGCACCCGCAGCAGCAGCAGCAGCACTGTCAGTAGCACCAGCACCAGCAGCACCAGCACCAACAACAGCAGAAGGGGCAGAGTAGAGATTCTGCGAGGGCGGCATGGGAGCAGGCGAGCCCACGTCCCCTTTCACGCCCGGCAGTGACACATCCGAATACCGCCTCTCCTCCTGGTAACCACCCTGCTGGTAACCACCCTGCTGGTAACCACCAGCCTGGTAACCCTCCTCGTCCTCACACTCTCCCTCAGGTACCGAATCCATGCTCCCCGTGCTCCCAGACGACCGGCTAGACCCCCTCCTCCCACTCCCCCTTCCTTCCCCTCCTCCTCGTCGCCTCTCCCTCTTCGCTCCCGCCACATCCCCCCCTCGCCCCCCTTCTCTGTCCTGAGACGGTAAGTCGAACTGTATCTGCCTCTGCCGCATCTGTTGGCCCTGCAACTCCCCTTCTCCCCTCTCCCTCCCCTTTCCCTCTTCCTCTCTTTTCGCCCTTCCCTCCTCTCCCTCCACTCCCTCATCCCTCTCCTCCTCCTCCTCTCCCTCCTCATCAAAGAAATCGTCCCCATCCTCCTCCATCCAAGTAGGCCTCCTCTTACTCCCCCCTCTCTCAGGAAAATACCTCACACTCCCACCCCCGCTCCCGCTATAATCACTTCCCGAATCATCACTCCTCCCACTGCCCCTCCGCATATCGTCACTCCTCCCACTCCCACTCTTACTACTCCTCATACTGCTCCTCCCATTCCTCCCATTCCCCTGCCTAACCACACTCCCCTCCCTCTCATCCTTAATCGTGTCATCCCTCTCCCTGCTCCCCACACCTTCCCCTCTCCTTCTCCAGCCATCCTCGCTATAGTGTTCCCCTACTTCCTGTACAAAGTCCCAGCTCCCACCGCTGCTGCCGGCACTGCCACTTTCCCGCCCATTCTCCCGCCTCTCCCGCCCCGACGGCTGTCCCCTCTCCATACTATGCTGCTCCTGCCGGCCAGATCCCACTTCCTGCCGGCCATATCCCGCTTCCTGCCGGCCGCGGTTCATCTGCCGGCCACTTCCGCCTTCTTGCCGGCCGCTGCCCCCCTGCGACCCGCCACCGCCCGCCGCTTGCCGTGCGCTGCCGCCCTCCCTGCTGCTGCCGCCCCCAGAGCTTCGCGCACTTCCATCGCGCGCCACCCGCCGCTCCTCCCCATCCTCCGCCAATGAGCCACTGCGCGCGGGTTTCGCGGGCACACGCGCTGCCGAACCTCCAGACCCCGAACCTCCAGACCCCGAACCTCCGGATCCCGAGCCGCTCACCCGGACATGCCGAGCCGAATTTCCAGATCCGCCAGGCCGTTCTGCCTCGGGCGTCCGCATCCGCTGCAGCGACGGCTGCGGCCCCCCGCGCACTCCGCCGTCCTGCCCTGGGCGCAAGAGCACGGGGGACTTGTTCCCCGTCCCCGCGCGCGCAAAATCTCCGCCCGCGAAATCTCCGCCAGGAACGTCGGCAGTAGAGGCCGCGCGGAAGAAAATGGGGGACTTGGAGCGGCTCCGCTCGACGCCGCTGCCGCCGCCGCCGTCGCGGGAAATGGCGCGAACCAGCAGCGGGGATTTTGACCTGCTCCGCGCAGCCCCGCCACCTCTCTCCATTCCGCCATTCCCCGCCGCCGGCCTCCCCCGCTGCTCCCCCCCGACCTGGCGCGCGGCTTTCGCGGGGAGCTCGTTCAGCCAATTGGAGAGGTGCGACACTCCGCCCATGGCGCCGTCAACCGCGGCGCCCATTGCGCCGCCTATCGCGCTGCCCATTGTCGGCGTGGTGGGGCGCCGCGGCGGCGTAACATTCGGCGGGAAGAGCGGGTGGTTACCAGCGGGGCTAGCGGGGCCGGCGGCGCCGGGAGCGGTGGGCGCGGCGGCTAGCTTGTTCTGGAGATTAAGGATCTTCTGCTGCTGGCGCGCTTCGAGCGCGTTGGGCTGGTGAAGTTTCTGTATGAGCTGCGACGCTTTATTCGCCTGCTGTTTTTGCTGCTGCTGCTGCTGGTGCTGTTGGTGCGGCAGCACGACGCCGTGCGCGGGACGGCGGTCGCGCGTTGCCTGCATGATAGGGATTTGAAGGATTCGCCGAGCGAGGTGATTAGGAATGGCAGATTTTCAACTTTCTCGAAAACGGTGAAAGAACGATGACCTGGTATCGCGAGCTCAGGGACAAGAAAAACCCTTTGATCGACGTCGTGCTAAAATCTCGTCATACCGCTAACTTGCACTTCCATCACTGCTCCGCTTTAGGGTTATCGAACGGCAAGGGCGGCAATTGCTGGATGGAGAATGGGGAAAAATGCATTTCTGTGATGTGCAACCAGAGCGATTGGAGGGAAGGGAAGCTGTTCCTGCGGTTGGGGAAGCGAGGTGCTTGTGAAGGCTGTTTCAGTTGGCCTAGATATGGGGAGCATAAGGGTGTCACTGAAGCACGTCCGATTGCGGTTCGCAAATATATTTTGCGTTCTGGAACGGTCAAATAAGCGTTTAGAACGGTCAAGTATGGTATTTTGCCAGAACACTTTTTTAGTGACACGGCCTAACCACAGCAGGTGGGGGAACCGAGTTGCAGAACTGATGGGAAGGATTCTGAGAAGCAAACAAGAGGGAAGATTTGTCGTTCCAACAAACAAGACCACTGAGAGCAACGAGTGTGAAATGAAACCAAAAAAAAACAAGCAGAGAGGGCGTGCCCGAAGCATACGTTTTCGCTCAATACCCTCCCCAACCGTAGTATTAATCTATTTGATTTTTCTGACCCATAAAGAACCCTACCCAACCGCAATCAGGCATACTCTTCGGACACGCGCTGAGGACAGCGAAGCGGGGGAGGCTGACAAAGGCGTGCAAGGTTCCTCCAATATGAACGTTAGTCACCATACGAATTTCCTCCACCTCCCAGTCCCAGCACAGCGCCAGACCTGCATTTCTGTACAATACGATACAAACGAAATTTGACTGGACTTGGAGGTTGGCGGGCATGCCCTGACGGAACCGTACAAAGAATGGAATTATTTTTTTCCTGACAGAGATTGAAACGAGAGATCGAAATAAAACGACACGCAATAAGTTGGGTTGGGTTGGGTTTAATGTATGCTGCTACCACCACCATTTCAGCATTGTTATCTACACCCACAATTGGAGCTTTTCCTCGGCGACATTGTTCGCAGCCATGGGGGCAGGCTTCAGGACATCCAGGAAGGCAAGAGCTGATTGGGGAGACTGGCACGTCACCACGTACCGACGAATCACGACACAATGTACAGCGGGTATGCTCTATGCTCCAAATCTGCGACTCGCAGATATCGACTTAATCGAATAGGGCCCGTACGGTAGGGGCAAAATGGACTAACGAGTGAATATGGGGGGCGGAGAGACTTGTTTGGTATGTTCTGTTCATATAAGGGTGCCTTGTCCGATGCTGCGACAATCTGTGTTATTAGGCGATACGTAGGATTTCATAACTAGTGACATTAAACAGAGTCCAACACACACAACAAACATTTCATGAACACTGAAACAGCCAAACCAACCCTCAAAAACCCGAAAAGCCACATCATCACTGACACAACTAGTGACTCAGCACACAACACAACCGAGCAGCAACACACAACCTACTCGCAGAATAAAACGATCACACAGGTCACACACGCTCCCAACAGCAAATTTCTACATACTCCCAAAAAGAAATGTAGCGCAAAACACACGACATGCAGCGCAACACCGTGCTCCCTCAACGCATCCACTCAGCCGAGTCCACCCAGCCGTCCATGACGGCCGTCGCCTGGAGCACATGCTGCCGGTATTCTTGTGTAACAACACCTGGAGCACACTTTAGGTCCAAACGAGGAGAGGCACGTTCGAGACGGTCAATGACCGACGGGTCTCGAATGTCGAACAGAATGCGAAGGTCCCTCAGGATGAGCCTGATGGACCGCGCATAACCGACCAACATCTCGGTCGCCATGCGGCTGAGATGCCGGCGAATGCGTGAATCATCAACGGGCTGCGCAATTGTCGGGGCACGGAGATACCATGCGCCGCATGCGGGGGTGCTGAGAGGTTCCAAAGCGAGAGGATCCTCGCCACATGGGTCGCATATCTCATCGTCATTGTCGCACGTAACGAACTGGACCGCATCCATGCGGTCCTCATCGTCCCAGGGCAGCTGTGACAAATTCTCAGCGACTGGCAGAAACTCGGCGGGCAAGTTATGTTCCTGCTCAGTGGCTGTTGTGCCGACCAGGGGGGGCCTTGCGAGCCAGCTAGCAGGTAGGGTACCCGTCCGCCACCAGCACTTCTGGACTGTCTCGGGCTCGATCGAGAACCACGAGTCCGAGAGCCAGGTTATGACCAGCACCATATCGGGCTTGTACTGCAACAGCATTCCCTCGCTCTGAAAATCTTCCCATTCGCGAAACATGTCGAGGGTCTGGAACGTGCGGAACCGAGCCTTAAGTGTCGCGATGAGGCCCTGGTCCAGTGGTTGCGTGAAGCAGGTAGTGTTAGGCGGGAGAAATACGAGACGAACGTTGCTGAGCGCGCGGGTTCGAAAGCCTAAAATGTCTGCTGATGTGGCGAGCGGAGACAGCAGGTGGTGGCAGCTCGCGTTGTCCAGCAGGATGACGACGCTGCGGCTTTCGGCAAAACAGCACGCGTTGATGTACTCAATGTACCCAGTGAATAACTGTGATGAACAAGAAATACGAAATTAGCTGTGTGATTGTTGGATTTAAGAAAACTACTGGACAACGAAAGCAATAGCAACAACCGATCAACCAAGAAATGAGAGGAACAATTTAGAAATGATGTGAACGGGAAACTATCAGCCACTTACCACGCTAGTCATCCAGCCGGAACCGTTGCTGCATCCAGGGTCGAACTTCTTACAGGCGAAGCAGCGCGGATTGGCGGTTTTGCTCACAATGAGGAGCTTGAACATCTGCAAGCCATCGGCGTTGCACAATAGCGCGACGGTTATGCGGTCCTTCTTGTTTTTTCCGCCACTCACAGGGCCGTCAGTGAAAGTCTTTTTTGGAATCTGGTTCCAAGCGCATCCAGTCTCGTCATAGTTGAAGCAGTCGCGAGGCGCAACTGCGAGCAGAGTGAGCAACTACGGGCAGAGTGAGCAACTGCGGGCACGTGCTCTTTGTCGTCATCACCGCGCCAAGGTCCTGGTCGTTAGCTTCACCCTGTCTGTGCCGCCATTTATAGCCCATCCGCTTCAGTGCTTTTTGCACCCACCCCACGCTAGCTTTAAATCCGACTGGAACGCCAGCGTCTGGTGCCATAATCCGGGCACGCTGTTGGATGACATCGATGGTGATGGGCAGCCCACCCTTTGCCGCCCTGCCCAACCATGACTTCAGGCGCTGCTCAAGCAGTGGGTAGAACGCAAAACGTAGGCGTCGATTGGTGGAGTTCTCAGGCCCAAGAGCCTTCCACTTGGCCGCCTCCTTCAGAATTTTCCCCACGGTGCTGGGGTCGGGATACATACTGTATCTGGTAAAACACCATCTTGCGAGGTCGCCGAGTCGAAGGTGAGCATGAGTTTCAGCATGTCGGCAGATTCCGACCTTCATAGCAATCGTCAGCGTTGTCCGTCTAAGTAACCTCATTGTGACAAGCCGGTTGAGCTCGGCGATGAATTTGGGTTCGTGAGTCGAAGCTGATCTGGCGGATTGTAAATACGACCTCTGTCGGCCTCATCTGCCGAGGGGGTACGTAGGCATGCCTCTGTCAGTGTGCATGCACACGTGCCAGGTGGACGGGGGTACTAGCGGGCAGTTTGTGATTTTGTGTTCGCCCCCACGTTCCGTCGTGATTACATAGCATCGCCCTGGCAAGCGCGTATTGGCTGGGCACAATCCAACACAATTCACGGGGATTTTTCGAGCTCGCACTCGCGGGTTGGTTGGCGACGCTAGGATGCCGTAATTGCGCCCAATTCGGGAGCCGCGTGTCGATGGTCGGTGGCATTATGCGACTGTCGTGACTGGTTAGTATGTTTATTGCACCTTTTTAGCAAAAACTAACAGTACATGTACACCGTACAGACGGAGTACATCGTAGTGGATCCTATCGAATTCCAGACTCTGGAGTATTATATGGAGTAAAATGTCACGGACCTAATGGCATACCCGCTGCATCACAATGTGCTGTATGGTGAATGTTGGACGGTAGCCAGGCTGGCGGTAACCACATTTTCTCAAAGCAGAAGTTGCAGTTGTATGTATACTTACAGTACGGTATGTTACGATACTGTAACCTATAAGAAATTCCCTTTTCTGTACTGGGCTCGGCTACACCGCGTACGCCCTCGACTCTCGGAAGTCCAGGCTCGGCCAACTTCTTCGGTCCCGAACCATTTCGTGAACCCAAACCTAGACGCGTGGCGCTTCCGTGGCTTTCGCCAACCGGACCGCCCCAACCTGTTCGCTTGGTTCTCGGCTAGCTCTATTCGTGCCTATAAATGCATAGGCCCTCATTTGTACCGACACTCTTAAATCACGACTTCTTTCTTACACTACCTGTTATTACTCTGATTAATTCATAACAGCTGGTATCAGAGCTCCGTTCCTGTCCGCTTAGTATTCCGTAGAGTAGTCCGTTTATATCGGGAGAGGACCCGACAGAACAGGGGGTTGGCCTGCGGTTGGTAGGTGAGCTCGTTAAAGATCCTCCAACTAGAAGCGTGTGCACTCTCAGATCTGTCCGGTAAAATTTCCAGCATGTCTATCACGCCGGAAACCTCTGCCCGTCGTAGTGTTAGGAACGTGACTCAAAGGGAAGTTTGCCGAGTTGCAAGCCAGGGCGGCTACAGTGGCGACACTGCAGGCCCAGCTTCAACAACTCACGGATAAGTTCGAGTCGTTGGGAAGCGAAGTGCAGACGCTGCGCAACGAAAACTCGTCGCTTCGCCAGACGCGGGGTGAAACGCGTCAGGGGTGGCCTGTTACCCGGGACGAAGATGCTGCGAGCGAAGCGATGGCGTCGGCGACACCTGAAGCGGTTGAAGAAATCCACAGCGAGCCACGGGCGGCCATTAAGATCAAACCTCCGATGCCACCACCGTTCAACCCAACTGACAGAACAACTACAGTGAGCGGTTGGCTGTTCGCCATGGAAATCTTCTTCACGGCAGCAAGTATTAATGACAACGCATCACGTGTCAACTTGGCTGTATCGCTGCTGAGGGGATCGGCATTCGACTGGTGGCGCATGCATGTGGATGAGGGAGGAGCCCCGGCAGGGAATCAACGGGCGGTAGATGGGGAGCACAGTTCATGAACAAAAAAATTGCGATAGCAGCTGGAGCGCTGCATGCCTGAAATCGACGCGCGATTGGTTGACGGCACACCACCTGCAATTCGGGAGCGGGTACCTCACGTGCGAGTAACAGGCGGCAAAAATTTTAGTTTCTCTACGAAGATGCT